CTGTGGAAAAGGCAAGAGATCACCTGAGTTAGGATGCAGACAGGCTGCTGTGCCTGGAACATTCCATTAAGATCTGAGTGCATGCTGGAAATGAAAGGGGTTTATTAACTTCCTTGGGAGGCAGAATTAATGGCCTGAGCCATACCTTCAAGTTTAGATAGTCCTAGTGTTGATGTCTAGAATTTTTGTGTGCCCACACACTATGAGCAGCCATTAACTGGACAATTTTAACAGGCCAGGAATATACTCCTATTGTATAATATGTTGGCTTAACTCAAAAAGTAACAATCTCTGTTTTCCTTGCATGACCATAAGGCTCAAAGGCTTTACAAGTCACCCAAGGTCATGTACTAGATTTGAAGTAAATTTTTCCCACCTCCCTAGCCATCGAGTACAAAGGATGGGAAAGACTGTGCAGGTCATTCTGGAAGGACAGGCTAGTAGTACACACCACACACTTTTTCTTATTTAAAAATAATAATGAAAGGGTCCTGGAGAGGTGGTTTACTTGGTAAAGTGCTGGCCTTGCAAGCATGAGGACCTGAGTTTGATTCTCCAGAACTAAGAGCCGGACAAGGTGCTGTGTACGTATAACTCCAAATCTGGTAAGGTGGAAACAGACAAATTCCTAGGGCTTGATGAGTTTCAGGCTAATGAGAGACAGTGTCTTCAAAAAACAATCTGGTGAGTGGGACTTGAACAGCCAAGCAACGATGTCCTCTAGTGTCCACACACACACACAGAGACACAACACGCACACATGCACGCATACACACACACACACACACGAACGCACGCACCTGTACATATGCAAACTCATACACAACAATAACTGCAGCCGCTTGCAGAAGTTCCTCAACCCCACAGGTATATGTGCACACTCAGAGAACAAAATATTTACAAGGCACACAATCTCATATGGCATTGTGTTGGAGGTATTACATATACGTGAGAAACAGAATTTCTTGCATTAATTGTAATGCTGAGGATGACAGTGTATCAGAAATTATTTATGTAAGTTGCTGCAGGGATACCCATTGTAAATTAGTGGTATTAGTTAATGGGCACATTAAAAGTGTTACCATTCATTTAGTATTTTCAGACTGTACCAGAGATCGGGAACAATGCATTAGCTTCATTCCCTTGGCACAAACTGGTTTCTAACTGTAAATGGCTTTATACAGGACACATATGCACTGGGAAATTTCAAAACAAAATAATTATCTTGCTTGTATCTCACTACAAATGGGATGCTTCTAAAACTTAGATTTTCCATTAGTCCGTGCTCGAACTTGAGTAATGGAGAGGACACTTGACTTCGCTATAAACTTAAAATAAGCCATGGAAAAACACCCCTAATCGCTTTAATAGAGTTGAACGCACCTCTCCCATGGCCTGCTTGATGTTCCCGGGAGATCTTACAATAAGTTCAAACTCCCATCATCCAGGATTTCACCCTGTCTTCACTTCTTGTAAGCATGACTTTACATTTATTTCCTACCCTTGATTCAAGTACTATGTATACTCCAAACCTAGTTCTACGTTAGCTGCCTCATCTCCTGGCCCCTACTCTGCCACCACCCTCTAGCCTTTCTGCACAGGCCTCCTATCCACTCCTTCCTTTCCACGGTAAAAAGCCGGGTTCCTACCCTACCAGGCTTTCTTTGGATGTGGCAGTATTGCCTAAGGTGCTTCTCATGCTAATTCCTAACTCTGGTCAAGTGCACCAGGTGGGAAACTGCCAGAGAAGGTCGGGAATATATAATTCTTAATAGAAAATTCAAAATACTTTCAGAATGAGAATGTCTGTTGCTTAAACCTGACCCAGTTACCAACTTCCCTTCCTAAAGATAAACACTGGTCAGCTTCTTTGTGCATCTCTCCAGAGACAGTCTATGTATGAGAACTATGTGCTCCCTTGCAGTTTAAATATACAAAAATATGTGCATACACAAGCACACAGTAACAACATTATGGAATCTTAATTGTTCTGTATCTGAGTTTTCTCATTGAATAAGTTAGCCTGCACTGTTAGACACGCAGCTAATTCAAGTGACTCCACAGCATTCTGCTGTGGTGTGTTTCATAACTCAGTCATCTCTGACTGACATATCTGGGCTCTTTCCCGTCATCTTCTGTTTATGACAATGTACAATCGATGCCTATTATATATATATATATATATATATATATATATATATATATATATATATCTCTGCAAACATACACAGGATGGTTCACTATCCTTCAGAGGCCGAGGCAGTGGAGGCTCAGATAAAGACATAAAGCAACTTCTACAGTCTTTCCTGGGAAGTGTTCATACCAAGGAAGCCTAAAATGTCTGTGGCTTACTTGTCTAATAAAGACAGGTAGGCTAGCGACCAGCATTGAGAATCGGCACTGGACAATAAGCAAGGGCTCTGACCGCTGCTCACTAGTAGATGCCCCACAGGCATAACTTCACTATGATGGCCAGATCTGAACACAACCTATCAGCAATGGTGATCTTTGGAGTTGGAAAAAGGGAGGAGCATGAGGAGCACTGGCTGTTCTTTCAAAGGTTCAGGACCCATATGGCAGCTCACAAAATCAGCAACTAGAGTTCCAAGGGACTGGACACTCTCTTCTGGTCTCCGTGAACACTAGACATACATGTGGTGCCCATACATATTCATAGACATAAATAAATATTTATATCAGCAAAATATTCATAGACATAAAATAAAAATAATTTTCAGAAGGCAGTCGTTTACCAGGTTACTACCACCATGAGCCTGAATATCCTAATATGCCATTCATTCTCACGGAAAGCACTCAAATTTTAAATATTCATTGTGCTTTTGGATAACTACAGAAATTTGCCCAGTTAAGTTCTTTGAACCCCAACCCCTTTAATCTGTTTCCTGGAAGGAAGAATATTCTGTGGGCTTGTTGAGATAATGAAATGAGACATAAAATTAAAAGTAGCCACTCACTACTATTATGTTTTATATACCAAAGAGGCTTCAGAAATAAATTTATTGCTTTCTGCTGTATAATAAATACCTTCAATTGCTAAGATCTTACAAAAGTACAAGCCTTCCTTGGTGCTATTTTTTTTAACATTCAACATAAAACAATTATTAAATACATTTTTAAAAGCTAAAAGGTTGATGCTTCAAGTGGTCCGATGAAGCTAGAATCTGTAAGGTATGAGGCTGAGTCTACTCTTTAGAACCTATCGTGCAGGATGCAAGGCTCCAGAATTCAGGGTTCTGCTGCTTCGTTTAGATGGATATCAGCTAGCAGGCCCTCTTTAGTCATATTCTGATATGTAATATTCTATTTTTAAAACTGTTACTCTGGCCAGTGATTCGTCTGCCCACATTAGGCCCCTAGTCCAGGCATTGACATGAGGCAGAATATTGTCTTTTACAGAGCTCTCACTTTGTACCTACATGAATATGGGGCCAAAATGCTTTTAACTAAATCCTTCATCTAAATAAATGCACTAAAGTTCAAGTAAATCATGTATGCCTTCCTCGAAGAATGCATCTGCACATGACTATGACCAGCAGTGAGAAGTCCTTCACACTGCCTGGACATTTTCAGAGCCTCTGCAGAGCAGGATGATGGTAGAGGCTGTGGCTCCTGGTTCAGTAACTGAGACAGGAATCCTGCCCAGTCTTCATGCAGAAATTCTGCCTGGCGATGGTGGCACACGCCTTTAATCCCAGCACTGAAAGGCAGAGGCAGATGGATCTCTGTGAGTTTGAGACCAGGCTGGTCTACAAGAGTGAGTTCCAGGACAGGCTCCAAAGCTACACAGAGAAACCCTGTCTCAAAAGAAAGGAAGGAAGGAAGGTAGGAAGGAAGGAAAAGAAAAGGAAAAGGATGGGTTCTTAATGTTTAACTCTATATAGTTACAAGGGACAATTGTGGGCCACAGTAACAGTGATATAATCAACTCAGGATCACATATTTGGAACCTATGAAGGACCTTGTACATGAAACAGATTTACCATTGGTCCCAAGGCCCAGTGCGGCAGGCTGCCATTCACTGGGTGCTACAATACGACAGAAACACTATGGAGGTCAGCCCTCTAAGACAGTCCACCAAGGTTCGAGAAACCATCTGGACAGAAATTCACTATTGGTCTTGTATGAAATGCCTCAGACTGAAGGCCACCTAGGACACCGGCTTCATAAAGCCCTGGCAACAGGCCCAATGATAACAAGTTCTTTTTTTTTTTTTTTCAGGAGAGAAGGAAAGCTGGTCTGAAACTCACTATGTAATATAAACTGGCCTCAAACTCACAGCAATCCTCCTGCCTCAGTCTCTACGTAGTATACTAATGTTAACATAGTTGTTTTAAAGTATCATAAATATTTGAGCCAAGGTAGACATAAAATAATTAGACTGGCTACTCTTAAGTTTCTAATATTTACGTAATCAAAGTTGGGACCACTGTAATGAATAATAAGAGGTAAGAATCATGTCTGTAAGACTTAGTGATTTAAAAATACTCTGAGTCACTGTATATAATATAAAAATTTCATGAAGATGCAAATATTTACAAAGATATGGAAAACCAAGCATCATGGAGGAAAATGGGGAAATTCTGTGCCTATGCTTAAACATGAAAGGTTACTGCTTACCCAAAGAAAAAAACATAACTTTATAAATATCACTCATTTGTTCATTCAACATAAACACTTCTTTCATTCACTTGACAAATCCAGGCTAGCCTTGGGGAATCAGCGAAGACACAGACTTTGAAGCTGGAAGGAAATTTCTGTTTCCATCAGCTCATCTCACTGCTCCTACACAATGGCACCAGGTCAACTGACCACTGTAAGCCTTCCTGAAGGAAGGTCACAGAATGAATTCTGGCTGGGTGGTATCATGATACATTGTGTGGAAGGGCTTGAGGCCACTGTGCAGTCACTTCAGGCCAGGCCTCCTTGACTATCCCAAACCAACAAGAGCCCCGGGTTTACACAGCTCTTGCTCTTCCAACCTTGAGAAGTTCATTTCCGCTCTGACCGTGGGCCTGTCCTGAAGACTCTCAGAGCCCCTTTCGGCTAATAGGGGAGAAGATGACTGAAGATTTCTAACAATGGGCAAGGTCATTACCTCACAAGGGGCCTGTTCTATTAGATGATTCTAGTTAGAAAGTTCTTTTATGTTGAGTTGAGATCAACCCTGTGAATTCAACCACACAAACCTATCACTGCCCCTTCTTTATAATAATTCCTCAAGTATTCCAACAACTTTAAAAATACCACCATCATCATCAATGGAGTGCATACGTATGGAGTTTAGGGTCATTTCTCTCCTTCCACCTCTACATGGGGTCTGGGATGAAACTCAAGTTTGCCAGCCTTGTGTGAAAAGATTCTTAAGCTGCTGGGCCCATGCTGTTAGCCCAAATTTCCAATATTGGTCACTTTCTTCTGTGAGACCACTTAGTCAACATTTCTCTTTAATATCCAGTGCCCAGAATATACTGTAATATTGTAGAGTTGGAGTGTAACCAGCATGTGTTTGCTATTTATCTAGTAACGGAGCCTAAGAGCCTCACTGACTTGATGTAAAAAAGACAAGTGAGCATAGGCCAATCAGAGGATCACTACCACAGTCACATCTGTCTAAATGACCAAATACAGAGGGTGGTCAAGAGTACAGACGAAGGTTACATACCCTGCATGGGTTCATGCTTTAGAGACTTGCTTCTCTGTTTCCTTGCCTATCTAGCAGCAATAACAACTGTCTTGTCTCAATGAATTGGCATAAAAAAATTAAGTTGGATATCAGGTATAAAGTGTTTAGAACAAGAATCAGTATTATTAACTAAGGCAGGTAACTTGTTTAGCTAAGGTAACTTGGTGGCTATATATGTGCCTTTTACAGGATGGGCTTTTCACAAGTCACACGGGAAATGGCAAGCTTCAGTCATTTCCCTAGGAATTAAATATTGAGACATTACTGGATGAAAGCAAACTGACACTTTTTTAGGTTCAAAGGATGTGAGATCCTTCTTCAGAGAGAAGACAGGCTGAACTTTGCCAACTGAGGGGAAGCCAAGGGAAAGCAGAATAAACAGAAAACAACTACTACAGAAACAAACTCCCAGGATGCTCAGTCAAAGACGATATGGATGCAGAATTCCTGGGATTGTAAGGCCCACCACGGTATGTTCTCTTTGCTTACTGGTTTCGTTGAATGCAAACACTTTAGACTCTCCAGCCAGAATCATAACCCAACGCCATGCTTGGGTCTTTTCTGACCACTGTGCCCAAATACCTCACAAAAAGCAACTGAAGGGAGAAAGAACTTATTTGGGGTCACAGCTGGAGAAGAGAACCCCACCACAGCAGGTTAGACAAGGCAGCAGTGCACAGTCAGCTTCATGGGCACAGGAACAGGTGAGTGGGACTTCCCCATCTCCTCAGACCAGGAGGCGGAGAGCGAATGCTAACACTCCTTAGGCTTTCTTTTCTTGTTCAGGCTGGGCTCCCAGCCTAGGGGATGACACCACCCATATTTACCGTGGGTCTTCCCCTCTAAGTTAAATCTCTCTGGAAATGCCCTCATACGGAGAGAGGTATGTCTCATAGGTGATTCTAAATCGAGAGGAAGTAGGTGCTAAAGCGACTTTCAGCATACCTGCTTGAGCAAGTAACTCTGGGCAATAAGAGCTCTTTGCTCCAACACTCTTTCAGATATAGACATAAGAGCTTCTACTCACATGGTGCCTGCGTTTGACTCAGCAAGGAACCTGGTGGACATGCAGCAACAATGGAACTCCATGCACAGCTCAGCGACTACTGGAAAATGCTAAGGATGGCTAAATTAGCCAAGGAATCTCTGCATTCCTTCTGAGTTAAATAAGCACACAAGCAGATACCCCATGCTCTGTTCTGCCATCTTTGGCCACCCGCTCCCAATACCGGGGACGGGGCCTCAGGCCCCCTACATCCTTGGCAAGAGTCCTGCCACTTTTATTTTACACTTTATTGTGAGGCAAGGTCCCACTCAGTTGCCCAGTTTAATTAGCCCTGAGCTGTCCTGCAGCCAGGCAGGCCTTGAGCTTGAGAGTCCTTCTGCCTCAACATCCAACTGCGATTCCAGGCCTGAGTCACAAAGACTGACCACCTACTTACTTCAGAAGAAGATTTAAATACCAACACAGCTTTTTAAAAATGTGATGCATTTGTCAAGTTTATCTTAATCTCCATTAAGTCTTTGGGACTCATCTGAACAGCTCTGGAAGCTGTGACTGGAGTAATGTTTAGACCACCTCAAAGCCCTTCCCTGGTGAATCCCTAGCCATCAGTGATTACCATCTCATTGCTAATCGGTTGCTTTTCTCAACCATGCTCATTAACTCAAAGAAAGGCAGATGGAATGTTTCCTCAACCATCAAAGCTCCACAACATTTAGAAATTGGCCATGTCCTGCCAATCCTAAGAGGGAATGATGGCCACTCCATTCAGGATAACCACCATCTTACTAAACTGCACGTGCTCATCACTGCCTAGGTATCTTATACGTTATCACATTCATTTGATATCCAGAGCCCTAGGAATCAGGTACTCCACCACTGCAGAACTCTTTAAAGGGATTAGCTAATGTGGCCAAGGCCACATAACAGGACTGAGTCAGTCTCTTTGACTTCGTAACCTAAGCTCATAAGCTCTGCCCATCATGGCAGAATTTACACTAGAAACAACTTAATGAACACCAACCTAATTTACACATAAGATAGTACCACGGATATGAAAGTAAACCATGGAATGGGAGACTATGTAAGACACTACACACAGTGTACACCCACAATCCCCTGGCTCTACAGTCTTGGTGCCTTGTGCCTCAGTGGGACTCAAACACAAGGATACAGAAGTGATCCTGAGCTGCTTCAAGGGTAGCGAGGAGCTGCCCTGCTTGGTAGGACACTCTCTATGTGATCCATTTTAGCAGGGCTGAGCATTCATTTTCAGGCAAAGTCTAAGTTTTCCATTTTCCATCAACTATTTATAGATTGTCCATGTACCACCATTTCTTGTCAATATATCACCCTTAGGGACTTCAGGAAGACCAGAATTTGGCCACTCCTAGTCTCCAACCACAATCCCATCATACTGCACCATTAACCTCTGACACGAACCAGCTAAAATAGCGGTGTCAATAGCAGTGAAGATGATCTAGGAGGGCAGGATATTTAAATATTTCAGCAGGAAGACTGTCAATTACCACTTGAAAACATGCCTTTTGTTCCATTTTATGCCATGGAAAGTTCTACCCCGTTTCTATTGTAGCACAATGCTAAGCAGCCTAAACTTTTCAGCCTCTACATCTCCAGTCTAACAAACTTCAGAAAGAACAGTTGGTTGATGACATATCCAAGGCACCAAGTCTTCTCATGCTGACAGACACTTGGATCATGTATATCAAAACCACAGAACACTTAGGAGTAAGGTGGTACCCAGCACAAAGAGCCACAGTCCCTGCCCTCAGGGGGCCATGATAAAAATATAGACTTACCTGGGCACAGAGCAGTCTAGGGCTAGTTCTGTCTACAATAGGAGAAAACAAATGAGGCTGGCGGGCAAAGAATATGTGCACGAATGACTTGCATGATCTCTCCAAACCCAGGTTTTTCCATTTCCTTTGCCTTATCTGTTCAAAGCCCCGCACTTACCTACCCTTCAACTCAAATTATTCTAACCCTTACACTGTAAACTTTGGGACCTTCCTTCAGATTGACTCTAGCTCTCTTTGATTAAAAACATAATGTTCAGAAGAAGGCAAATGGCTAGTCCCACTGGTAGGACTAGCAAGGTACTTTCTATCTTAGCCAACCCCACCCTCACTCGGAGGATTGAATAATAAGCAACATTTTAGCCTTGGAAGCCCCAAGGGTCTCACGTTTATGGAGCCTGCTCAGATAACAGCAAGGCTATCTCTGCCTTCCGCTGTTTTATCCTCAAGCACTGAGCAGACAGAGGAGCCGAAGCTATAAGTCACTGGTATTTCAAGCATCCAGCATCACCTTTACCCCTCTGCCCCAAGGCCTTATAAACCACAGCTCTGGATCAATCTATTTGTTTGCTCTCTGTTAATTTGGAGACTATTCCATAAGCACAGATTGCATGAGCAGTACTAAAGCCAGTCTTTAGTGGACATAGTTTACAGATCCCTGATGGTTTCCATGCCCCTCTCCACAGAAGCTATTCTAAGACTTCCCAAGCTCCCACTCAGAGCCACACAACCTTTTTTTTTTGGGTTTCACTGAGAAAACGGTACCATTTGGGCTTGAAATACACATGCTTGCTACCCACACCTGCCCCCACCTCGGCTCGGGGCTCACATCGTGCCCCCGTTCTTACATCCATCGGCTCACTCAGCAATCCTGCCCCATCTAAGAGTTCCTTCCGTTCCTCATACAAACACACTCAAAAGCAAAGTGAAAAGGAACAAGGAAACAACAGTGTTCTCATCAGTCTGTGCTTCCAACAGCGAAGCCTCGGGAAAGAGCCTGTTGTCAAGCTCCAAGTTAACAGTGCAGCCTGCTGCATGCCACCCTGCCCTGGAAAGCACTCACAGCCACGTGACCACACGAACGAGCCCCAAGTTCACAAATGCAAGTCACCTTCTCAATTCCTCCTGGAACTGCCCTCTCCACAGCACCTGACATTGGGCGACTCCCATCTTGAAAGTCTCCGACGCTGGTTCTTATGACATCACCGCCCGGTGACCCCACCTCTTCACTGAGTCCTCTAGTCAAACCTTACATGTTAGCATTTTCCCAGGATTCTATTCTTGGCTTTCCTCTTCTCAAACTAAACTCTCCCCGGGGAGAAGGAGCGGCAAAGCGCTGTTTACACTATGAATTATCCCACATGCCCATAAATCAATAAGACTAAATTTGAATTCATTTGCTTCCTCTCCCCACTCATCTCCATACCAGAGCTCGCTCACCTCTGTCATGGTCCTCTCTGTCTGCTTACCTGCCTCCCGTGCACGCTCTGTGCACTAGCGTCAGCACCAGAGACTTCCTGGTGCGAGGGCGGGAAGTGCGCAGGTGTGAGGACTCCGCAAAAGCAATGCATTAAATGCATTACAGGGCAGCTAAGGGGTGTGCAGAAGAGGGAGTCCCCTGAACTAAGGGACATCTACGGGGAGATTTACATATGCAAACAGATAGAGATAAAGACATCTCCTCTGTAGCATTGCTCTACTTATCACAACTGCCAGTGATATGATACAACAGGAAGTCGATTTATACTTTGATTTTGTAAATGAAAGAGGCAGAGAAATGGGAGAAGTGGTAGGATTTCAACAACTGCAGGAAGAGAGAATCAGTTGGGGGGACAGGAAAGCTGGGGCAAAGCATGCTGGGCTGCAGGGTGTGGGAGGCCAACATCAGGACACCGGGAGGGGTCACACGGGATCTTTTATGTTTGAGTGGAGATGCAATTTGCAGGTGATGGCGAACAAGCTAGTCCCTTTAAGCAATGCAGCTTCTGATTAGAAAAGAGGCCAGAACAGAAGGGCCCTCTTTCAAAGTTCCCTGATGAGTTACCTCAGTGAGGAGAAATGAAAGCCTGAACTACAGCAACTGGTATAAAAATAAGAGGAGAAAATATTGGTTTTTTTAAGACTGTAGATACATAACAAAGGTTTTGAATACGTAAGAACAATAGAGTTAAATAAAGGATTAATTTAAAGGAAGCAAAAGCTTTAAAAACACAAAAATTAAGAAGTGAAAAGGAGCCAGTTAGTGGTGCCTTTAATCCCAACACTCTGGAAGCAGTGGCTGACGGATTTCTGTGACTCAAGGTCAGCCTGGTCTACAGAGCAAGTTCCGGGACTGCCAGAGCTACACAGAAAAACCTGTCTTGAAAGAACAAAACTGTTCAGGAACATTATTTTAAGGTGTGTGACTTTTTTTTATACTGCATTTGTTTAACTCCATGAAGCTGTGATTCTTTGCCTGTCTAAAATACCCGATGGTTTAGGAGGCAGGAGTAAGGATAGGTGAGGCCATCAGGCAAAAAGGATAAACAGAAGGAGAATGGAGGAACAGGGGGAGCAACAAGAGAAGAAGGGGAGGAGGACGTCAGGAGTCAGCCACCCAGCCACCCAGCCAGCCAGCCACCCAGCCAGCCACCCAGCCAGCCATGCAGTAAGAATGAAAGAAAGATATACAGGAAAAAGCCTAGAGGCAGAAGGCAGTCAGGATAATTTAAGAAAAGCTGGCTACAAATGAGTCAAGCTAAGGCCGGGCATCTATAAGTAAGAATAAGACTCTGTGTGTGATTTATCTGGGAGCTGGGTGGTGGGACCTCAAAAAGTCAGAACACAACACAAAACAACAACAAAAGATAAAAGTGAAAAGGAAAACAGTCCTTGCTGGTTGGTTTATTTGAAACAGTCTCTCTGTGTAGCCTAGGCTGCCCTAGCATTCACAGCACCCTTCCTGCCTCAGTCTCCCAAGTGCTGGGATTACAGGTATGAGCCACTGTGTATGCGTGTGTGTGTGTGTGTGTGTGTGTGTGTGTGTGTGTGTGTGTGTGTGTGTGTGTGTGTGTGAGAGAGAGAGAGAGAGAGAGAGAATATATTTAAACGTACATATTCAAAAATACACATTTAAAAAACACATTTAAACCCAAGTTTACTGAGCCAATAATTGATCATATATTTGGTGTTAGAATGTAAAACATTTATTAGAGTTAATTGTGTCAGTAAGGACTGAATTAAGCATCTACACATGCTTAAAAAATGCCACCCCACAGCCCTGGAACAAATAACTGAACATAGCCATACCGTGAAGCTGTTGTTCGCATTTTTTGTGCTTGCTTCAGCGACACTGGCATCTGAGAGGTCGACTTCATCAAATATCAAGGACTGTTGGTGGACAAGAACACAGACACATCATGTAGAAAGCCAGCTCTTCGGCACATTGTCACTATCAGCCCATGACGATGAAAGTGATGTCAAGAGCTAGGAACCATAAACGAATGTTAACTTAGGGGCACTCCACAAGCTTGTCTCAGGAAGAATGAATCCATTCCACATGGCTGCCCTATGAAGCTACGCAGCTTCTGCACAAACGAACAGTGTGTTCTGGAGCCTCTCTGCTATGGTCATGAGAACCAACTGAGACACACACACACACACACACACACACTCATTCTACACGCAAAGCTTGAGGCAAGTCTGCAGGCAATCGAAAGCCCACAGGTTTGCTGAGTAGAGACTGAGAACAAACCCTGCCTCACATCGTGGTGACTTACTGAATGCTCTGGACTTATTGTCCTTGTCTTCCAAAATATGGCCAAATAAGATGGTGGTGGTGTAAAGGGAGACTTTTCTCTGTCTAGTATGGGTCCTACTGGACCTGTTGACCTGTTTCTCTCTGCCCACGGGGTCCCCAAAGTCACGATGAAATAACCACTCAGAGACTTAATACATATTACTGGCTAGCTCTCTCTTAATTATTTCTATTCATCTGTGTATCACCACGTGAACTTGGCTTACCCAGGTGATACCCTGGTGTCGCTCCTCTCCGGCAGCTACGTGGTGGCTCTCTCTCATCTTCCTTCTCCCTGCCTCTTTGTAGAATTCCCACTTAGCTAAATTCTACCTGTCTGTTGACCAAAACAGCTTAATTCATCAACCAAGAGAAACACCTAGTCACAGCATACACAGGACATCCCCCCCCCATGCTCTGCAAACAGAAGACCGTGTTTCTCTCACTCTTATACATAATTTTAAACAAAGGGTGTCAGTGGTGAAAGCTCCAGGAAAAAAATGGAATTTTTTAAAGGAACAAAATATCCATCAGTAAATATGAATAAATAAATGCATCTTTCCGGTTTTTAGTGAGCTGCTCATTGTTCAGTTTTCAAGCCAGTGGACTTCCAGCACAAGCGGAGGAGCCATTCATCTCCACAACTGCAGAGAAACATGTCTCCATGTCTCCCCTTCCTGATAGCTTCCACTCTCCCAACCAGGGAGTTCTATTAAGGGGGTTGCGTTACATTTACTATAATTTCATTAATTTACTTTAATTCAACTAGACATGCTCCCAAACTGGAAGGGGCGTACAATATGGCCAGTCCATTAAACAGACAAAGCCCACTGAAGTGTGCGTGAGATTGACTTTCAAACGTGGAGGACCGGAGTCACAAGGAAATGCTATGGAAAGTC